GAGGTTTCACGATTGGAAGCATCATATCAATGATGTTCCTTAGAGAGTCAGAGATGTTAAGCAAATCGAGAATGCTGTCCACTAAATATTCCAGAAAACGTGAACATGGCGCTACGCTGTTCTGACTGTGAAACTGGGACATCTGTAGTTTTAGATGTTTCCGGAAGCTGCGGAAATGCTTTGTCGTAATCAACAGGCTTGAAACCCGGTGGAGTGGGTTTCGGGACATTTCCATGACCTTTTGATTTATCCAAGGGGGCTTGTGAGTCAGTTCTAGTTGTGTTTTAAGTTTTCTTCAAACCATTCCTGACATGCTTCCTAGAAGGTCCTTGGAAAACAAAATGACTTCCGTCATTGCCCCCGACATCAGTGTCGTCCTCATCAACCGTGAGAAGGTTGAAAGGATTATTGTCGTTTTTTTTCCGGAGTGATTCTGGGCAGAGGATTAAAAGTCTTCAAGATCTCTGCAAAGGAATACTGAGAGCAAGCCTTCAGAGACCGTTTAAGTTTTCCCCCCTGTTGCTTGTACTTAGGGTAATCTGCGAGAGGATGCGGAGATTCCAAACAATAAACACATTTGGGAGGAGTACTACAAGTACCCTCCGCATGCTTCTCGCCGCACAGATCGCAGCGTGGCTTGTTGCCGCAGAAGGCAGCGGTGTGGTCTAATTGCTTACACTTTGTGCAGTTCATCACCCTCGGTACAAACAACCACACAGGAAGTCGAACCTGACGTAATCTGGCAGTGCCGATCCGGAAAAGGTCACCCGAAACGAGTCTGATAGCAAGTAGGTTTTTTTTTTTCGTTCCATCCAATTTTTACTTCAGGAAGGGTGGGGTTCTTGAAGACACCAACCCCTCTCTTCAGGAAGTCGTCGCTGGTCATACTCGACTCGGTGACCACTCAATCGATTTCCACGTCGTGACATGGGATATAAACTCGATACTCTAACGTAAAGAGCTCACAGGAAACAATCTCGTTCGCCTGCTTACGACTAGCAACAGTGACGCTCAGTTTGTCTGGCCGCACCTTGAAAACGTGGGTCATGGACGAGAAACGATTGAAAAGATTCTTTTCGATCCGGTTAACATTTCTTTTTGTTTGGGCCGGAAGAAAACAACCCATGGACCTTTCGAGGCATCTGGGTATGCCTTGTAGCGGGGGGCAGCTTGTGTTAGTTTTACAGAGATAGGCGGTGTTGGTGGAGACGGAATAGTCGCTGTTGGGGGTAACGGGTTAGGTGGAATGAACGTTGTTGTTCAGTACGATGAGCAGTTCCGGATGCCTGTCGTAGGACTCAATTAGCAGCCCCCGAACGTGTTTGTATTGTGTGGCAAGTTTCTGGCAGTCTAGTCCTTTACGCGGCAGCATCAACTTTCCAACCGTGCGGACACTATGCAGCAGCAGCTTGTTGCTTGCATCGGCACTATCATCCGACGCCCATCGATTAATTCGTTGGGACTTCTCTTCACGTGTGATATCGGTTATCCATTTGATCGTCAGTCGCTCTTGTACTCCAACAATTATTATTATTATTATTTAGCTTTATTAAGGAGGCTTTCAGCCTTGGGCTGGTTCGCCTCCAATACTCCAACAATACCCAGCCGGTCAGCCAGGTTTTTCTCCAACAACGTAACGGAAGCACCTTTGTCGAGGTAACACCAACACCATGATCGACTATGCGATGGAAACTAAGGATTTTAAATTGGCCACAAAATCGATTAACGTACCTCATTCTAGTACTACACTGAATTTGTTTTGATTTGCTATGAAAGTTTGACAGATAAAATTAGGGGTTCGTGGATTTTTCTATGTTTCGAGGGGTGCATCGATTAGCTTGGGACCGAAGAGAGTACCAGAGCTGAGCCAAAAAGTTGAGCACGTTTCTTCGGCATTTTCTGGTCTTAGAGTTACCTCTATAGTAAAACCGCACCAGAAGCATCCGGAACATGACAGAACAGTTGGACCGGATATGAGCACTCATTCTCACAGTGTTTCCCACGGGGTGCATCAGCGAATTGTGGAGCTTCTTGCAATCACCGATGTTACAGCAAATCTTGACATTGCACGGACCACCATGATCATTGAGACACACGCGTCAAAGTTTTTCGTGGGTTACCAGCTTCAGTCGGTTCTCATACAACAGATTTTTTTAACTTTATTAGACGATGACGAAGACGATGTTCTGTGCTATCACACAAATTGCACAGCTTCAACCTCTTCAGGTCGATTAGTCTGGCGCCCGAACTTTTTACTGCGCTGTGGTAGTGCAACGCATCTTTCTCCATCGGCTTCTACACGAGCTTGAACTCCATGTCAAAATTTGCATCGCAGGCGTCCTCGACTGTCTCCATAAAAAAAAGTCCGTCAGCGTTCGCAACGCTCGTTCTCTTGTACCGGACCCATTCGCACTTCTCACGATCCGGAAGCTTGAAGACCAGTCTTTTGATCAGAAGCGAGTTGATGAGATGTTGACGAAGTTCAGCGACCTCCAGATGTCCGCAGAGCTGCTCCACTGTATTCCCAAAAGAAATGAAGCTCCTAATTTTGCCTGGCTTTGCCTGGCTTTGGAGGCTCTAACTGGTTAACTTTATCCATTAAATTCTGGAGCAGTTGTTCCGGAGGACCGTAGTGCCGATGCAGCTTCTCGATGACCCTTGGAAATGACTTGGGAAGAAGCAGTTGACCGGACACCAGCTCAAGAGCATCGCCTTCGAGGGATTCCTGCAGTCGCATTAACTTCTCGTGGTCCATGTAGTCACAAGCTTTGTTCGACGTCTTGTAGACCACGTAGAACAATGGCCATTGTGCTGGTTTGCCACAAAACTTAGGGAGTTTGGCTGTCAACCCATTTCTCGCGGCCAGCTGAGCCTTTGTCGGTCTGACTTACTTCTGCTCCAGCCCGTTTTGGCTTCTTTCATCTTTTTACGGATGTTTCGGAATGTTCGAGAATTGACGCTAGGCTGGTCAGACTCATCGGTAGGCTTCTTTGTGCTGCCTTTGGTACTCCTGAGCGTCGAGCTGACAGGCTTCGTTTTGGCAGTACCATTTTTTCGGCTTCAGTCCCTCCGTTAGACCAAGCAGCGAGAGTGAAAGCAGCTTGCGCGACCGTCGGAACCGACCATTTCTTCGTCACTAGTTTTTTAGCTACGGGAGTGTGGTGTTTTCGAAGAATAGATACCGAAAACACATTCGATCTTGCATTGTTTGAGCGGGGTGGGAGTGAATGTGAATGTAAAAACTGTCTTTCGACCATAGAGAGTGGAAGATCGCAGCATCCGTGGATCCAGGAAATTGAGCGCTTATTACCTTTGTTGGATTCCTGGTCATGCCGGAATCAGCGGCAGGCTTGCTTCCACTCACTTGCTATAAAAACATGATTTTCTGAATTTTGAAATCATTAGCTGTTATAATCCTATTTTGTTCTTGTTAGATGCAAGAAGAGGTTGAAAGGCAAGTGTTTGACACATGAAACTTGTCAAGTTCGCTTTAAGATAGTCACAATCAGCAATTTTACGAGTCGCGAGCGCTCACTCTGAGTGAACGCTGACGAATCATAAGATCGCTTTATGAGTCAAACACTTGCCTTCCAACCACTTTTTGTATCTAACAAGTACAAAATATCATTATATGATTTCAAAATTCAGGAAATCATTTTTTTATAGCTAGTGAGTGGAAGCAACCCTGATCAGCGGTAAAGAAGAAGCAGCAGTCAGTGAAGCACGAAACAGACACCAATCAACGGCGCCGTACCAAGGAATTATGCAATCAAGAAAATGAACCAAATCTTTTGCCAGCAATCGATGGCACGTAGGGCACAATTGACAGATGTCAAGCTGAAGAAGGTCAAAAGGGAAACGAAGAAGTGTATCGATCAGTACAGTTCTGCCGATCAACGTGTTTCTGCTGCAGAAAACATCTCCGTAAGCATGTGACTGCTGCGGGACCATTGTTGACGTTCGTCTCATTATTCTGCCCTGCAGAAAATTTGAAGCGGCCAGGACTAAATACGGAATATCGATTCCACAAGGCGTTACGCAGCGACGAGGATACTGAGAAGCGGCTGCTAAGGTTCCTGCATGAAACCAACGTTTATCGGAAACTTTGGATGGTGATGATACAAAGGAAAGAAAAGTGCAGGATGTAAGAAGAATCCAGAGCGGAGGAAGGCTGCTGAAATAATGAATGTGGACAATGAAGTCACAATGCGATGTAGAAGAAAAAACGAAGTCTGTAATGAATGGAAGAAGATACCGGGGAGGAAATCGAAGTAGATGCAGCGGAAGAAGGTTGCCGATCAATTTTTGGAAGCAAGTGAGTTAACGAAGAAAATGCTGAATGGAAATACAGAAGATGACCTAGAGGAAATCGAAGAAGATTGAGTGAAAAAGGATGAAGATGAAGCAGAAGAGAAAAGTGCGACAGCAGGCGTGAATTATTATGAAGATATAGAAGGATGAAGCGGGGAATCAAAGGGTGAAGCAAAAGATAAAGAGAAGCAGAAATCGGAGAAGCCATTAACGTTGCGGAAACTAATGGATGTAGAAGAAGCAGAAAACGAGAAGATGATGGAGCAGAAACAGAAGTAGCAGATGATGGAAACAGTTGAAGATATACGGAAAAGAAGATGAGAACGTGAAGACAGGGTGGCAAAATTTCCAAAAGTGTTATAGACTAGGGGATGTCCATAAACTACGTAGAAAGTTTAGGGTGGGTGGGGGGTGTTGACAATTATCCACGGCCCAAACAAAATTTAAATTTTTTTTATGGACAATTGTCTACGCAGGGGGAGAGGGGGTCAAGAATCCCAAAAAAACTGTCTACGTAGTTTATGAACAGGCCCCTAGAAGCAGAAAGAAGAACAAAATGCATCAGTAGAGTAGTGGTTATTGTTTCCGCTTTCCAAGTGGAAGATCGTGATCGCATATTTAATTTAAATAGTAATCATCGATCACATGACTCACGACAATAAATGCATTGATCTAGTTTAAAAAATAACCGAGCATCCATTCCTTGGAATTGGAGAGGCAAAGAGGTAACATTGATCTCATGTAAAACAACGATGAATAAATTAATAATTCCCAAAGGGCCTTAAAGGAGATAGAGTTGTGATTGAAAGTGTAAGTTTATATTGATTATTGAGCTGCCCTTATGATGAATTCTATGATAACTCAAATGACAAGGCAAGCGGCTGGTGATCGGAAGGTCCATGGCCACGTCAGAAATAAAGAAATCAATCACTGGTAAAGAATAACTAATTCCCATCACCCCTTACCTTATACTACACTTATAGTTCAAGGTGTTGTGGTTGGATAAATTCTCCAGTTTTGTGTGAACAAAGCCTGAACAGAAGTTATTATTAAAAATAATACAAGTATTATTAAGCATGCAGTTGAATAAAATCGTCAAGTCGTTTCTTCAATAGACGATTCGTACCCAAGCGTTTCTTACGGACGATTCAAAACAATTTGTTTTTAACTATAGTTGTCAAGTTAAAATCAGTTCTTGGTCAAATACAAATTTTTGGCAAAAGACGAGCACCTGCTAATCACTACATCTTCAGAGACGGTGTACATTTCTGATCTAAATTTTCACATTTTTTAATTTTAATAAATCATATTGTGGCAAATGGTGGCAGATCAGATAATTGTTGTTTGAAATTAGAACAGAACTGCAGAACACCGCCGGAATTATCTACATCTGTCAACATCGTGAAATGTTACCGAATCATATTTCTTCTATCAGATATTCGCCTTGATGCATGGGCAACATTCACACTACTTTGAATTGCTTCCTCAAATGATTAAATAAATGTTAGATTTTCTGTTCTCTGTAGTAAAAATACGATTGCAAAATTTTATCATACGTTTAAAATGCTTCAAAAAGGCTACTCAATGTCGTTTGTATCTTTATTGGTTTCAGAGATATTTTAAAATGAAAATTGGTGTTTAATAAAAATCGGCAAAAAGGGGGGGGGAATCCCTAGATCCAGGGGTTGTATGAAACAACAATTTTGATCTAGACTCACCAATTTTGGTTCAAATCGGAGAGGGTTGATGCAACTACTCGGTCACTTGAGATGGCCCACATGACGTTTTCGTACCAATTTATTGAAAAATTACAGAGACGACACTTTGAGAAAAATAAAACTACAAGATCCAAAATGGCCGGTTTTTTGCAAAAACAATTGTTGTCATTAACTCGAAGCTGGTATTTTTCATTGGTAAATTTCAATTAATCTTACTTATTTCAAAATATATGGTAGAATGTTTTCGATATTGAGGAATGTATGATTTTTTGTGATTTTTAAAGGGATGGGTTTCGTTTAGGCGCAAATTATGAATTTCAAGAAATTTGTTTTGTAATTTCTGCTAAAAAAAACCCACTTCGCACACAAATTATAACATCTGATTAAGATTCAGGAACCCAAATTTAATATGAACAGTTACTAGAAATTTACTCGAAACTAATTTGAGGGGTCGATCAATTTCAATTTAACCCCATGAATTTCCAAACCTGATATTTTAAAAATGTCATAAAAATTAAAAAAAAAAACACTCAATATGATAAGTAATCATGCAGAACAATAGGGAACGCAAAAACTACTGATGTTAATACTATTAGCAGTGTTGCCAGATATACCGTTTTATCGGTATTTCTACCGATTTTCGAATTTGATACCGATAAACTGATAACGCTCCTCAGAATACCGATTTTCGAGATTTTATACCGATTCATACCGATTTTTGACGTAGGACTACGTCTTTGATTTCTATATGGGGGTACACTTTGTGAAAACCGAAAATGGAACATGTAACAGATAAAGAAAGATTTTGAACGTTAATAACTCAGCTGCCCTTGGTCCAATTTCAATAATTTTATCACCAATCGATCAGATATATGGCTACGCATCGATAACAATGCTTCCGAATGATGATTTTCAACAAGAAACTATTGAAAAACTGGTAAATGTACAGCATTGCCCAAAAGCGTTGAATTAATTAACAAATCCACCAATTACCTACATGCATATGCTGCTTCCCCAGCACAGTCGTCAGAGAGTAGTAAGTAGACGAAACAACTCGAAGTGGCATTCTCCTCCGATTCTCGGGCGCGTGCGAATAGAGAGGATGGAATTGCGTAATATTTTGCACACTCATCCCCATACTCAGAACCACACGCTCCCAACGACCACACCACTGTGTGGTGGTGTTCGGTCGTCGAAATTAGTAGCAGCAGTAGCAGTGCTTTCGGCGTGTGGCGTTGAAAATTGTTCTCCAGTAACAACGAAAGGCTGCCTGCAAGCAGCGAGCTGCAGAGCCCACATAAGCAACCATCAAAGGAGGAAGAAGCTGCACCGCTATGCTATGGATCGGAATCAGTAGCTCTTCGTGAGTCGCTACGGGTCGGTCATCTATGCCAAGCGTGTCACCCTCGCTCCAAACGACATACAGCTCGACAGCCTCATCCGTGTTGAACACCCAGCTCAGCATTACTCAACCATCACTACAAAACGGTCCTTTTCAGGACCACCAAAAAATTGTTAAAGAGTATTATTTGGACATTTGTCAAGGTCATTAGTTTCCGCTAGCAGCTAGCTATCAAGGCTCAACCTGTCTCTAGAAGGTGTGGAATTGTAGGCCTGAATATATTGGTGCAATTATTTTTTCCTCGGCTTTCATTCCGCACGATTCGTTTCTTTCGTTTAATCAATCACCCTTGTAGTGACGTCGAAAAGATTGTTTCAATCGGCGCTTACACATGAAATTTAATGTAGATTATAGATTTTTTTTGTATGTTACCAAAATTTATGAATGGTTTGCCATTGGTTGTTGCGATAATTTATTGATTATTGAATTATCACACTGTATACCATGAAAAAGCAGCCTGTTTGTGAGTTTTTGCCTGTTTTCGAGTAAGGAGTTATCATAAAAAAAACAAAACGCTGGTATTTCCCGGCATTTTTCCCTCTACCAACACAAACATCAGGGCTTGATAGATCTGCACAGGATCTATAGAATCCACGCAATTTCAAAAAACCAATATGCACAGCATTACGAAAAGAGGTCAGGTTTCGACAAATAGCAGATAGATTTTAATTCTAAACAAGCCAAACGGTTGGAAATTTATCTACGAATCTGCTAAAATGAACACTTAGTTAATTTTCAATAGGTTACTATTGAAAAATACCAAATGTCCAACTGTTGCAATGGTGATCAAAATTATCACCGAATGTCTGAAAACAGCGCATTCCCTAACACAGACTTAAAAATCGAATTCGATGCTGTTCTACTAAACGGTGCTCATTCAATCACCGTAAGTGGTGGTGTCCAGTCCAGCAGCAGCAGCAGGAGTGCTTTCAACAACAACAACAACAACAACAACAACAACAACAACAACAACAACAACAACAACAACAACAACAAAAACAACAACAACAACAACAACAACAACAACAACAACAACAACAACAACAACAACAACAACAACAACAACAACAACAACAACAACAACAACAACAACAACAACAACAACAACAACAACAACAACAACAACAACAACAACAACAAAAACAACAACAACGAAAGGCTGCCTGCAAGCAGCGAGCTGCAGAGCTAATATGAGCAACCTAGAGAAAAAGCGAGAAGTCCCACCGCTAGGCTAGGATTGGAATCAGTAGCTCGTCGTGCTCAGCTCAGCATTACTCAACCATCACTACAAAATGGTCCTTTTCAGGACCACCATAAATTTGTTAAGAGTATTATTTGGACATTTGTCAAAGTCATCAGTTCCCGCAAGCAGCTAGCTATCAAGGCTCAACCTGGTCTTTATTGAAGGTGTGGAATTGTAGACCCGAATGTATTGGTGAGATTAATCATCGTCCGACCATTTTCCAGAACACGCTGGTAGGAAGTGTTAAAAATCCATTTAGAATTTGAGAGAAGTGGGAATAATTCGCTTTGGGTGTATATTCAGTCCCCAGAAAGCCAATAAAATCAAATTTGTGAGAAAATTAGCTCTCACGAGTTCAATCTCTCGAAGTCCCTCCTTTTCTACATATTCTGCACAAACGATACTTCCCACCCCGCCCCATTCATATATTTTGGAAAGAAATCCTGTGAGGGGTGAATTGAATACACTTTAATACCAAAATGCACAAAATTTAAAAATTCATAAATAACAAGAAATTCAAAATACACCTTTTAAAGTCGGGTAGATGAATCGAAAATACTCAAGTTGACAGTCCCTTGGATTCTCTTCATCAACTTTCTCTTTGAAATAAATACTACAAATTTGATACGCTTACAAAATTGATGATTGATCAATTAAAAGAACTAAATGTTCACATTTGTTCCGTCCACTAGTGGTCCTACGTCAAGCTCCCGTTCGTGCCCCTAGGCACAGACCCTTCTACTTTTTTCCTTTTGGTTTGTTTTTTTCCGTCGATCTTGTTTTCCGTGTTGAGCACCAATGCTACCGACGTGCCAGGAAGGCAGCTCCCACACCTGGACCCTACCTATCGACCCATCAACTCATGAACCGGGGACCAACGACTTTACTTCCCATCCGAAGGAAGGCGTGATCAGAGATGTTATGCCTCAGAACATCCCGGCGGCGCCGACTGATATTGAACCCAGGCCTGCTGGGGTGAGAGGTAATCACGCTTACCACTACACCACCGGCGCCGTTAGTCTGTGGAGATGGCAGACTTGGATTTCACGGGTGTGTGGAGACCTGCTAGGTACCATTTGAGGTGGAACCCAAATCCTAATCTTCCCGAGTCCAACCTCGGTATCGTCGAGAGGCCAGTTCTCCACCAAAAGCTACCCTCACAACTAACGGGTCCTAAAGGGCACAAAAGAAACGGTCTTAGGCCCGATTGTCACATGTGACCTTTTTTAATCTCTGTTCCATACCTGACTCTCTCTCTCTATCCACTCCTGCTACTACGACACTCTTACTCTTCTTCAATAAACTTTTTGCGGGTTTTAGCTTATGTAACTGCTCTTGTTTGAGTTTACTTGGCAAGTGGCGGAAGAAGTTTCCGTGCTACTCGCCGTTCCCTTTCTCTGTACTTCTCGTACCCATTCTCCTATGTTCCACTGAACTCAATTTGTTGGCTCATCACCTATTCCAGCAGTTGGTAGTAAACTGTGGTATTGTATAGTGTACTAAAACTAGGGGTATCAAATTGGCAATTATCATTCAAATTTAAATGGACATGCAGAATACGATAAACATACAGAAATAAATCAACAAATGTTACAAACGGTAACATATTAAGGCAATAAGCCAATATCTCGGCTGACGACTGCTACCGAGTTTCCAGCTGAAGATGATCGAAGCGGTGGGTGTTGAAGTCTCCACTCCTGTTGGCCCCATTTTACCATCATTGCGGCCTACTGTCCCAAACTAGTCACCATCAGGGACGGGTCGGCAGCAGACCTGCGGAGAGACATCATCAAACTAACTCGACGCCGTGAGAAGTACATCATCGCTGAACGCCAAACACCAGGCTTGGGGCAACCAAAACGGCACAATCCTGAAGGATTCGTCCTCTCCTTCAAGTTATCAACCAATCAGCCTTCTCTCAGGGTTATCAAAACTGATCAAATGAGCAGTGTACCACAGGCTCCAAACATCTGCCAAAGAAAACAACTTGTTACTTGAGGAACAGCTTGTGACTCGAGTAACAAACATTCTCAGACGGAACAAGTTTGTTTCGAAAACATCTGCCATGGCGTTGTTGGACGTTGAAAAAGCGTTTGACAATGTCTGGCATGATGTTCAAATTTCAGCACTACGATCTTCCAATCTTCCTAGTGAAGATTATAAACAACTATCTATCGAACAGGACGTTCCAAGTCTCTCAGAATGGCAGCACATCGGAAGCTTTCAACATCGGTGCTGGGGTTCCACAAGGAAGCTTCCTTGGCCCCATTCTATTCAACCTGTTCACCTCCGATATGCCGGCTCTCCCTGATGGTGGATCTGTTCGCAGATGACAGATCCATCGTCTACAAGGGTAGGGTCATCGGAACTCTGACTGCCAAACTTTAGAGAGGCCTGGACGTCCTGTCTGGATATTTCAACAGCTGGCAGATCCGTATCAACGCGGCAAAGACCCAGGTCATCATCTATCCACACTCTAAATCTCCCAGACTTGTTCCGTCGGAGAATAATAAGATCTGCCTGAACGGCACAGTGGTGGAATGGTCAAAAGAGGTAGTCTACCTCGGCTTAACACTAGACAGCAAGCTGATTTTCAGGGAGCACGTTGACAAAACCAAAACCCAGTGTAACATCTTGATGAGATCACTGTATCCACTCATCAACAGGAGGTCTACTCTATCACTGAAAAATAAGCTTGCTGTCTGCAAACAAAACATCCTTCCCGTAATAAAATACGGGATGCCAATCTGGGATGCCATCACCTTAAAGTTTAAAGAATCCAGAACAAGAACAAGAACATTGTGGCAGAAAACGAGCACCTGCTAATCACTACATCTTTGGAGATATTGTACATGTTTAATCTGAATTGGAACATTTTTTAATTTTAATAAATCATATTGTGGCAAATGGTGGTAGATCAGATAACTTTTTTTTTATGAAAGTAGAACAAAACACTGCAGAACACCGCTGTAATTATCTACATCTGTCAACATCGTGAAAAGTTACAGAATCATATTTCTTCTATCAGATATTCACCTTGAAACATGGGCAACATTCACACAACTTTGAATTGCTTCCTCAAATGATTTAATAAATGTTGGATTTTCTGTGCACTGTAGTAAAAATTCGATTGCAAAATTTTATTATACGTTTAAAATGCTTCAAAAAGGGTACACAATGTCGTTTGCATCTTTATTGGTTTCAGAGATATTTTAAAATGAAAATTGGTGTTTAATAAAAATCGGAAAAAGGGGGAATCCCTAGATCTGGGGGGTTGTATGACACACAAATTTTGAAGGTCGATGCATTTCCTCGGTCACTTGAGATGGAATGATCCACATGACATTTTCGTGCCAATTTATTGAAAAATTACAGAGACGACATTTCGAGAAAAATAAAACTAAAAAAATCCAAAATGGCCGATTTTTTGCAAAAAACAATTGTTGACATTAACTTGAAAGTGATATTTTTCATTGCTAAATTTCTATTAATCTGAATTGTTTCAAAATATATGGTAGAATGTTTTCGATATTGAGGAATGTATGATTTTCTGTTATTTTTTGAGGAATGGCTTTCGTTTAGGCGCAAATTATGAATGTTTCATAATTTCTGCTAAAATACGCATCGCACACGAATAATAACATCTGATTCAGATTCAGGGAATCCATTTTCAATATAAACAGTTGCTAGAAATTTACTCGAAACTAATTTGAGGTGTTAATCAATTTCACCCCGTATCATGTCATAAAAATTAACAAAACACTCAATATGATAAGTAATCATGCAGAACGATAGGGAACGCTTAACTATTGATTTTAATACCATTAGTTTGCGAATCTCGTTTACTGTAGAAATTTATTTCTATATTTACATTACGGTACATACGGATTACGGTACATACAATGTTTAATTTAACCTTCGAAATTAGGAACTTATTGCGCATCTACAGCTCAGGTCACGGTAGAAAGCGAATCAAGTCAATCGATTTTTTGATCGACAAGTGGACATAGGACCTATCCAAAAATTATTGGAGGATTGTGCTTTCAACACAACATACAAATGCATGCACCTAGAACACTAAGTTGAGAGCCGGCAAAACACTCGCTACAGAAGAAAAAGAAGAATCACTGTAATATGGAATAAACAATTATTTAAAAAGCACAGTCACAAAACACCCTCGCACTAACATGCATATGAAAAGAAAATCAGCCTTTCATGTAGCATACCTTGTTGACAGACACCGCCGAGGAAAAGCACAATGCTTTTCGATAATTTTTCCGCTCTATAATTGCTGTACGTGGAACCGCTTTGGCGTGCATCCTGTGCGGCACTAGCATCCGCGCGATCGTCGTCCTGAAAGGCTGCGTTGAGCTGTGCAAAGCGCACTATTTTTTGCAGCATGTTTCCAGCACCGTTTTCCGCCTTTCCAGTTGTGTTGATGTTTTTGCCACTGTTATTTGCACCGTCAACGTCCTTGCGAGCAGCTTCCCACTGTTGATGTTGATTCAAAAGTTGCCTCCGGCTCAATGTCTTCCGTCTTCTCACCCGTCGACTGCAGCGCCCAAGACGGTGGTCCCGATGATGGCGAGGATCATCGTCGTTATTTTTATTTGTGTCATTAAAAAGTACATTTTCCTTTGTGCCCCGCTGTCGATGGTGCAGTTGCTGCCTCCGCTTTTCGATACTTCCTCCATTGAAATGGAAACTATCTCCGTAATAACTTTCGTCATCTTCAATGTTCAAAGAGCCAAACTTGTTAGCGTGTATCGAACTTTTTCCTCGCCGAACAAAGCCTATGGGGTGGGAAAACGGAAGAAAACAAGCAAATGGATGAGAAGACGTGGCTTGGGATATGAAGCGGCTGCACAATGTATGCAAGGCAATTGAATGAGGGTGCAAAATTGGAATAGAATTGTTTTCGGAAAAGTTTTTGACAGCACCGGAATTCGCATTTGTTGTTTTGGCAACCCGATTATCAAACAATTCAAAAGTAATTTCATGCATTTTTAACATCAATTTGCTTTGCGGTAAAATGCTCATAAAGCATTGTCGTGAGTTTGAATTCACTTAAAACAGAAAGATTGTATTCCTGCTACCAAGATTTGCTTCATATTTCAATTCTAAAAGTCTCACTATCCTTCGATGGCATTAACATCCCAGAAAATAAATGCAGCTTTCACATCACTGTTGAAGCCCGGAGGCCCGCTTTTGCTGCACTTTCCGAGAGTAGTATAGTGCTTTTGTGCCATTATTTTGCCCGCATAGCGAAAATGCTGATGTAACGAGACATTTTTTGTATCAACCCCTTTGCTGCCAAACTCAACAAGACCCGCTGTGTATCGCTATCGCCGCCGATCGATGTCGTCATTAACGTCGAAAAGTTTTGATTTATTTCCTCCCGCTTTGGAGTTTACACTGAAGGAACGAGAATGTATTCTTTTGACAAGTTTCATCCACAGTTTGTGTGTACACATGTTGACAACGCACCACCGCTCATGTCACTTTGCATTGCTAGTTAAGTAACTGCATAACATCGGAGATGCAAAAGACGGTGTACGTAACTAGCTGGTTTTGTGTTGTTGATGAGGCGTATTTCAATAAAAAATTAACCATGTGCAGGGCTATTTTTCACACAGATGGCGCTGTTTCGTTGGTAGTAGGCAATAAAAATTCCTTAATATATATTAGAAAATGTGCAAATCACACGCTGTTGATGTGCCGATGACCCCGGTAATTTGACCGTTCTTAATCAGAACACTTTTTAGTTTGAAAGAGGAAATAATCTGCACGATGCGCAAACTAAAAAATTATCAAATGTCATTTAGCACAGGGAATGGAGAAAAGACAAATGCAACGCATAATCAAAACAAAACAGCGAATAAAGCTAACAGAAACTCGCTTTTATGGTGGTCACAGGATTACTAAAAGGAAAAATTAAAAATTAACACAGTTAAATTGCTCGAATTGTCGTTAAGATTAACGGGGGTCCACTGTATATTCAGGTCAAAACAGTGAATGAAAACCTAAAGAAATCATTCATGAACTTTGTCGTTCAGTTTTTTTTTTCCGGGAAATTATTGTTCTACACAGCAAAAAATACATTTGAATATTACATCCAAGAGGATGCACTTCAACCAACAATCAATACGAAACTAACGATTTTAAATTAGCTCACTACATGACTAGCCTATTGGTCCCAAGCAAACGATTAACGTATCCCATTGTAGTCGAAATTCTAGTACTACGCAATGTTTGTTTTGATTCGCTATGAAAGTTTGACAGATAAAATGAGGGGTTATTGGTTTTTCCTATGTTTCGAGGGGTGAATCGATTAGCTTGGGACCGAAGAGAGTACCAGAGCTGAGCCAAAAAGTTGAGCACGTTATTTCGGGACCTTCTAGTCTTAGAGTTACCTCTATGCTTCAACCATGTCGATAATCTCATGTAATTTTTATGGTCACAACAATAAACAAATGCAGTAAAAGTAGCGTAATGTCAGCTCATGCACTGTATTAATGATAATTTTGCCCTTTTTGGCAAGTAATATTACAACCATATTTTCGACACGATTGAAGTGCATCCACTTTGATGTGATATTAAAATTATTTTTTTGCTGTATACAGACCAGTGCTGAGATTTGTCATTGTCATTGACAGACTTTTGCGCGATATTGACAAAATTGTTTTTCACATAGTCAATGATAGACTTGATCCTCAAAAAAATCTTTGTCAAAATCTCATTCATTTTTTCGTCAATGACAAAGATTCACCTGGTAACAGAAAGTGTAATTTCTTGCATTCTGAGACACTTTTTTTTTTATCCAAGCGGTTCAGGACGTAGATGCTTATTCACTTTAATGGCTCCATGTAATTGTTTTGCTCAAGCCATTTTATTTCATTTCAAATTTAGCTAATAAACAAATCAGCACATGTTCGTCACTGACAACAATGCTACTGACAATTGACATGGTTTGCCTTGACGATGACTGTTAGCTCAAACGAGTGACCAAAGCAGAATTTTGAGTATCACCGTGTATTGTCGAAATTTTGCAGCACTGATACAGACTACAACTAAATTCAAAAGTGTTCTTCCATACACTCAAAAAATTTGTCACATAAAATTCACTGGAAAAAAACACGTAACCTAAGGATGTTAAAAATTGTCTGTAAAGTACAAGACGTTAATAAAATTCATTACAAATCGTATTAAAAGCAATGTAATAAGCTTTAAAACTTAGATGAATATATATAAATTTTAAGAGAATTTCATGTAAAATAATTTCACTAAGATTTTACATGAATTTATTGTGTGAAAATTTCTGACTGGTGATGGCACAAACAAAATCTAACATGGCGTCCAAACAGTGCTGTGCTGACGAGTTGTTGCTGCATTCACAAATACCATTGGATTTGTTGAATTTTCTCATAAGTATGATGTTTTATTTTTGTCATGATACACCATTTATTTATGGTATGTTTTTAGAACGAGGAATGGACGGACGAGGAATGATCTCACCCGAAAGATTGGCAGATAAAGTGCAGCTGGCCGGAAGTTGCTGGAACACATAAGACATCCCTAATAAAATTGTTATGGCTATTTTGCTTAACGACGTGTTTGGGTATCATCCAAACCATTTATGGAATAGTTCTAATATTTGGGTTGTCGTTCGTTTATGGTATTTTAATAAGAATATATTATCAGCTTTCTGAATAATATAATTTTTATTATCTCGAAAAATAATTTTAAAATTCCTAACAATTGATGATGCTACCAAGAAACTTACTAAAATTTAAGAGAAACCATAATAAAATTTACTTTGAAAGTACCGTAAAACGGGGTATCTTTGATCATGAGGGTAACTTTGATAGTATAATATAAAAATCAAATTTACTCGTTGTGCTTTTTCCAAATTAGAAACATTGGTTCCATATTGTAGCTTAGGGTATTTCCGTTGATATCGTATATAGTTTTTATATAGTATGTGCTACATATTTTACAGGGGGAGGTAGCTCATCGATTCTTCCGGTTCGCCTCCTAGCATCGTGCTATAAGGTACCAGGCGATAACCAGGGTAGTTGATCGATAGCTTGATGACGTCATTTCGTTGGCGTCTGCTATGGGAAATTCTCATAGCAGGCGTTGACGATGGGACGTTGTCGAGTTGTTGAATAGCAACTATCGTGGTAACTCACCGATTACCTGTCGATCTGCCAAATTTGGAAAGACGTCTGCATTGAATTGTCTCATATAATAATATTCCGCCCACTATATCACACGAAATTGCGAGTAGTTGAGTGGAATGGAGATAAGTTAAGCATTGGGTACAGGACCAAGTCTCCCCTGGGTGGTGCCAGAAGATGAGCGCAAAAGAATCATCAAGTTGCCATAAGGCACGGAATGAGACTATTGCATGGCTGGGTAGTCAAAGTCTTCCATTCGTTAGTCATTTCAGGTGGATTAGAACAGGTTTAGGTTTAGGGTGGGCGTTGGCCAGATTTGGTTTCCTAAATAGGACCTAGATTATTTAATACACTAGTAACCTCAACTTCTGTCACAATGTTTCATTGTGACTAATCAACACTCAACGGGTAAAATATCAAATTTGCGGTAAATTTGAAAAAAAGTTAACTTGGAGTGTAGAGTGCACTGTCCACTGGACGATTCTGAAGCCTGACCAAGTGAGTGGGTTACGGGTTTATTTGATTGTACGTCATTTCCAAGTTATATATAGATACATTCATACCATTGGCATTTTGTATTTGAGATAAGACAGAGACAGGATGCGGAGGGCCCGCTTAGGGGGAGCGTAACCCATGTTATGGCTTGCATTTATTAAATAGTTCAGATAGGCTGGAAATGATAGGTTCATGGTGAAAAAATGTACCAAATATATGTACTGATCAAAATTAGATTCAAATCGTCAGGCCCTGCCCTGGAATAAGGGGATTGACGATGATTTGTCAAGTTTCATTTTGCATTTGCATATAATTGTAAGTTTAGGTTTGCTTTTGTAATTGTAAGATAGATAGTTTGCCTCAATTGAAACATTGAGTTAAACATGACGAATCATACCTCTAAAATAGTAGTAGTTACAGTGCCGCATTATCTAACTTTTGTTTTGTTTGTTTACATATAACTAATACTAATACCTCCTTGTTTTCTCTCTAATTTGTCTACTATGTCCCACCATCACGATGAGAGATGAGCTACCGTACATGGTACACACTCATATACACTCCCAAAATAGTATGCCGCAAGTAAGTATATCACAGAGGCAACTAAAGATCCAGAAACAAAAACCGAAAACGCTGAACGGCAGATTGGTTTACAGTGGTCGACCAGGGTGTGTGCTGATAAATAAATTACAATTACATCATTATTCCATACATCAGCTTGAATTACGTTGATCGATATTACATTTTTTTTTTGCTGTGCACTACACCACCGGAGCCAGCAAAGTTCAACAATCCATCGTTGCTTATGCCTTTGTTGTCGTTTGGAACCAGTTTTGCGAGGTAGGTGACGATTGTGCGTATTTCTCGCGTAAATTTTGAAAAGGGCCTAGCCTGAACAATACGTAAAGAGCAAATTGAAACATTGTACGTCGCGTGAAAGTGGAACTTAATGAAGGCCTAAGTACTTTTTCGTAGTTTTTAGTTTTCGGATTTGAAAGATCGTCGGTTACAGTGGCCTGCTTACTGAGCAGAAAAACGCGGTCCCAGGTCCTTACATATCAAAGAGATTTATAGTAAAATCGCTTGTGTATCGTGTATTTTGCGAAACTCATTGTTGT